ATTGTTTCCTTTGTTGAGAAGAAGTTTCTTAGGTTGATGCCATCGCATTTATTGATTCTTGATTTTGCTTCTTGCACTTTAGGAGTCTCGTTAAGGAAGACAGATCCTACGCAACATTTAATGGTGGTAGCATTTTTTCAGAATAGAAAAGAAAGTATTCAAGCATCCTGACAATTTTGTGTGTGTGTGGGGATTGAACCCAGGGCCTTGTGCATGCAAGGCAAGCACTCTACCAACTGAGCTATATCCCCAGTCTGACAATTTTAATTTACTAGGGACCACTGGCATTAGTAAAGGCTTTCTGCTCCTTCCTGAACATCCTCTCTACCTCATTTTTGCAGCAGAAGTTCTCCAGTTGCAAAATGAACGGGTTACGTTGAGCAGTTTGCCTAGAACCTCAGAATTAAATGACATTTCTGATATGGATTCCTCAACACAGAGTAAGTTGATATCATTTTTTATTTAACAATATTTAAGCAAAATTGTGGTTGCAATGATATTTATAGAATGTCAGTGCTGGTTTCTTAGGTCCCTGATAGCAGAGAACCTAAAATAGAGTCAGCAAGAATCCCACGTGTTTCCAGCTAGAGGAAAAACCAGATACAGACCAACTCCAGATAAAGAAAGTCTGCTGAATGCATTCATGCCACTCCATTTCTTTATATCAGTATTGCTGCCCCAAAAGAGGTAGAGGCCCTAACTGAAGGCCCGAAATTAATAATATGGGGTTTGTAACTGCTTTCACATCCTTTCAAAAAGAAAACTTCAGCACTACCACATATGTGAATTGTCTTGTGTCTTCCTCTGCAGCCATTGGGAGGAGTCCATGCTACATCAGGTGCGCTGCTGCCAATGAAAGGCTTTGTGCTGGCTAGTTGGTGACTTCAGATCCCTTGGCTTGATGCCCTGGGGAATCATGTTTATTTTTGGAAGGGATAGGGTGGCATCTTACAGCAGTATAGTCACACTAACTCATAAAGGAGCTAACAAGTATATTACTAACTGTGAAAAGGGGAGAAGGGACAGGAAACTGTAATGTTAGACATTCTTTCAACTGACATTTTCAATAGATGAAGCAGAATTTAAGGAGGTCTTTTGAGTTCTTTTAAAAGAACAAAATTTTATGCAAGGTTTCCAAAAAATGAGCTTTTTAAGAAATTTCTCTTTTTTAAACTATAATAATATTTTAATAAATTATACAAAAAAGATGAGACAAATGTGCATTTGTGGAATCGCATGTTGGTAAGGCCAGATCCCTGCAGAAGGTTCCCTTCCGCCGTGAATGTGTACGTCTAGTTGTCTCCCTCTTAGAGCAGACATTTACTTTCCTCACACACCACCCATGGGAGGAGGGCTGGGACCACGAAGATGATTGATTTGACCCGTTCTTCAGGGAGGGTTTCCTATTGACCGTCTTCCATTGTCGAATCTGGAATAAATGAGTTTCTGTATGTAGCCTCTTTTGTTTTCACATCTTCTTGAGCAAGTTTTGAAGAACAAAATCACAAATTCAGTTGTTCCCCAAAAGAAATCTGTTATCAAAGACAGTGTCCCTGAAGACTGCTCCGGCATTTGTCCATTCGAGCACATCGTGGCTTGGTTCTTGGCTTCCCAGTGACTTACAAGAAATATTTCTAATAATAAGTCATAAGATTCCAGTATTATGTGAAATGTCTTTGTAACTCATAGTTATATATGCACCTATAAATTCTGTGCCAGGATATGAATTAGACTAAGAATCATTTGTGAATCAAATGAAATACAGAGATTCTCCACTGTTCTCATTCTGACACCTCAGAACTCCCTCTTTTTCTTCCTCACCACATTTCACAGGCAGCCTTCACACCCCTTGGGCTGGCACTGGCCTCCTGCTTCAGCCTGCAGAGCAGCTGGGAGCGCAGGCCCGTGCTTCTCGCCCAACTAGAACTTCAGCTTTAACCAGGCAATTCTAAATTTCAAATGGAGTGAAAGGACTGGCTCAGTCTAGGTCGTTTGGGGAAAAAAAAATGAAAAAGAAAGTTCTTTGGGAGAAGAAAATAGTTTTTCAGGAATTGAAGCTGACTGGTTATGAAACTAAATTTCAGAAGTGTATTTTTCTCCCAAATTCCATATTTACTAGCCCCTTAGTCCACTTGAAATGGCCATTACTCTTAGACAAATTGTTGTATTTTAATCTTTGCTATTAAGAACATTGGTTTGTTTATTTTGTTATTGGGAAAGCAGTCATGGAACACACTTCACAGTGACTAGGAATGACTTTTCTCGTTATCATTGACATCATAGTGAGGAAGCTTACTGTTTTGAAGAACACATATTCTTAGTCATGCTTGGTTCCTAATGTATAAATTTTATAAATGCTAAATCACTTAAAATATACAACTTTGCTGATAGCATTTCTTCAGTTCTATAAATAAATATTTGAATTGTAAATGGAACTACTTAGGGGCAGGTAATTCATTCAGCTTTTTGTTTAAGAAGCCTCGTTTTTACAATATTCATTTTATTATTAATGTTTGCAGCACATATCCTTCAAAATAATTACTCTATCATTGCTAACATCAGAAAATTCAACTGCTAGTAATATTAAATTTTGTTTTCAAGTTTCTTTAAATAGAAAAACAAGAGAATGGGACAGCATGGAGCAGAATCTTATCAAGAAAGTAAGAAATCTCCGCCAGAGGCTCACCGAGCAAGCTCGTGAGAGATGTCGGACCCCTCACCTTTTAACTACGTAAAGACATGTCACCTCAAGATAGTCAGAGGGAGATACCTATTTACAATCAATGACGCTGATTTTTATATTGTTTATTTGAAATTCCTATGGAGACCATCCTTCTGTATAGAAAAAAAATGTGTTCGTAAAAATTATGTTTTCTATGTAATTCTAATACTTTTTGACTTATAAATGACTTCTTGAACTTTTCACAGTAAAAGGTTTTTGGAAACTCTTAAGGCTGTTGGGCTCTCAGTTGCAAAGACCAGCTTCAGCAACTTTAGCAATGAAAGTTTACTTTAAAGATAAATGAAGGGGCTGGGGCTGGGGCTCAGGGGGAGAGCGCTCGCCTGGCACGTACAGGGGCACTGGGTTCAATCCTCAGCACCACATAAAAATGAATAAATAAAGGTATTGTGTTCAACTACAAATAAAAAAAAATAAGAAAGATAAATGGATAGAGCTGGGGTTGTGGCTCAGCAGTAGCGCACTCACCTAGCACATGCAAGGCCCTGGGTCCAAGCCTCAGCACCACATAAAAATAAATAAACAAAATAAAGATATTATGTCCAACTACAACTAAAAACTAAAAATTAAAAAAAAAAAAAGAGAGAGGGCTGGGGGTATGGCCCAATGTAGAGTGCTTTCCTAACGTGTAAGGTACTGGATTTGATTCTCAGCACCGCATATAAATAAATAAATAGAATAAAGATCCATCAACATTTTAAAAATATTTTTAAAATAAATGGAGAAATAAAGCCCCAAAAACCATCTCAGCAACATGCAACCAGGACTGAGAGAACTCAGCAGCAGCTGGAGGCTCCATCAGCGTGGACTTGGCCTGAATGACAGCCCTCCTGCCCCCGTGTCACCACAGCAGAATCTCCTCTGCCAGTGACCCCACCACAACCACAGACATCTCAAGCTCTGCTTCTCTGGCCCTCTGCGTGCTGCTCTCAGCAGAGCTGTCTGCTGGTCCTCCCCATCTCATCGCTCCCAGCAGGGCTACCCAAGATTTCATGAACCTTGTTCCCCCATTTTTAAAGGGAGAATAGAAATAGCTCCCAGCCTTCATGTGAGGACTACATAGACGAGGCGTGTGCAGTTCTTTACCCAGTGCTCAGCAAACAATGCGTGTGCAGCACAGTAGTCATTTTTTTCCCCTGGGGTCTCAACACATAAGTTTACAGTGAACCAATCCTCTTAGTCAGGTTCTCTTATCAAAGTACTAAAATAATATCCTGTCACTGCAAGGCATTGGTTTCCCAAGAGTAGTTTCTTCAACCTAATTTTCTGTACATTTTCTGTGGTTATAATATATGCCTTCATGGGTCAGGCTGGTGTGTTTTGCAACAGGAGTCACAGGGTATGAAATACATAGGGTGTGATGGGAACTTGGATGAACTAGAAATTGCTTGTTCACCTAAAAGCATGCAGAGTCTAAAACTGTTGTGATTCTGCCTGCAGGAATCAGCTGTGTATTGCCAACTTTTACCTCTCTCCCAGGTCCTCTTTTTCTAAAATTTATACTAAGATTGGTTTTGCAACTATACACACATACGGCTTTATAATGTATCACAATTGTTTCTTAAAAAGTTGCTTTTTAAAAATGAGTCTGATTGCTCAACCATACGAAGTTCTTTTTAATCACATTCTTCCAGTTTTCTCTGGGCTACGTTTCTCCCAACAACGATCTTGATAAAGTCACTGCCTTAGCAGATTTCAGATATTTGGCTGAGTCTCTAGTCATATGTGCTTGGTTGGCATTTCTAAGACTATCATGTCTGCTGAAGTACATAAAGTATGTTTCTTATTATATCTTCTTGGCATCACAGCTTCAATCTTACCCCAGTTACTTTAAAATGAGAATTCTCTGGGATCGAATAAGGGTTGAGCCTGACACAATGGCTTTATTCAGAAAGTTTCTCTCCAATACTCCCTTGAATTTGTGTAAGAAGAGCAATACCTAAATGCCTTTTTATGTTTTTTACTTTCAGAAGGTTTCCATCTTGTGCAAACTGGACCATGTTAGATAAGTGTTGGGCTTCAGCTAAATCTCTCTCCATCTCTGTCTACACTTGAGGGGGTTTTTCAGTGAATTAAATGGTATTGAATAGGATATTAACTCGAGTTGAGGCCTTTTCATATTTTACATTCACAGAGTTTTTCTCCAGTGTGAATTCTGTAATGTTGAGCAAGATTCGAATGTTTCCACAGTGGTACGTGTTGACCACAACAGAACTGTGTATAAGGCTTGGTTTACGAATACAGATGAACTTATCAGAAATTCTGAATTTAATGTTTAATCTCATCATATCAGTCTAGGTCCATTCAGGAGACAAACCACACAATGAGGGAGGTATAACAAAGACTTGTTAAGCTGATGGGAGGCAACTATGAAGAAGTAAAGAGAACTCTAAAGGGTGCCACAGATGGAGGGGGATCTCTCAAGGAAGGACGGCCTTGGAAAGGGAGCCCCCTTCTGTTCCAAGGCTCAGGGTCAGACATGTCCAAGAAGGGGTGGAGAATGGAGTGGTTCGAGGGTTGTCCAGGCCAGAGCTAGTCCACATCCACAGCACGTCATCCAAACCTGGTGGGTAAAAGTGCATAAGGTATCAGGACCCCTCCTCAGGCTGGAGTGTGGCCTGGTGTGTGCACTGTGCAATCAAGAGGACCACAGGAAACAATCCTCAGCCACAGGCAGTCCAAGGCTGATGTGCAGGTGCTCAGAGTGCATCAGGATGCTGCTACTCACCTGGAACATGACAGTGTCATCAAAGGACTGCAGTGAAGTGGTCATCGAACTGGGGCAGTCAAGAGCAATGGAGTGAAGGAGCAGACTGCACTTCCCTGGGGCACATGATTACAGAAGAGCACCCCTGGATCTCCCACCCATGCTAATTCTGAAGGGATATGAAGCTGGAGCAAGTCAGCTGAGCAGCACAGTGGAGTTAGGAAGAGAAGCCCCATTTCCGCAGTGTCCCTCCAGCACCCTCTATTGACAGCTGAACAGCATGCACACTAAGAAAAGAAATGCAGAAGAGTCCAGGCCATTACTGCAGAGCAAGGACTGAGAGGCAGTCAATGGATAACCAGCACCCTTGTGCAGTTGGAAGTGGCTTTACAGTTTACATGATTGGCTGACAAATGTGGACTCGATTTTGGCCTCTATTTGATAAGAATGACAGAATTTCACTGGTATGATGTTGATGAATATAGCCAAAGCTTAGACAGAAAGGATTTATCACATATGGACCTCCACACCTTCAAACTGTGTACTCTGGTCCTAAAAAGACTCTTCCTTCTTTAAGGCAGTGAGTGAAGGAAGCATCTGCAAACCAGAAAGCTCCATGGTGGCTCCCCTCTGCAGACAATATGTGACAGTAAGGGAGGCCACCTTAATAATGAGATTCCATGCTAGTGAAGCCAAGTAGCAGCATGGAATTGCCAAAGACAACTATCTACAGCAAAAGGCAGCATGGAACTAGTAGCATTAAGGGGTCTTTGTTGATAATTGATTAATGTCACAAAGAATGAAATACATAAGAAGCCTATTAAATGAAATTCATATGGACAAACACCAACCTGATGGCCAAAAGCCTGACTGGAGTTCATGCCTGCCACCCAGTTTCCAGACCTGAAGCCACTTGAGGGGTGGGGCTGTGGCTCAGCAGTAGCGCACTTGCCTGGCATGTGTGAGGCACTGGGTTCGATTCTCAGTACCACATATAAATAAATAAATAAATAAATAAATAAATAAATAAATAAATAAAAGGTCTATCAACAACTAAAAAATATTTTTTTAAAAAAGGCATTTCTTGGGGCTAGAGTTGTGGTTCACTGGTAGAGCACTTGTCTCACAAGTATGAGGCACTGGGTTCCATCCTAGCACCACATAAAGACAAATAAAGACATTGAGTTCATACACAACTAAAAGAAAGTATTAAAAAAAACAACTCACTTGATTGAAAGAGTCCAGATCCCCTTGAGAAAAGACCTTACTGCATGCTGTAAGTGTTCTTTAAGGTTTCCTGGGGGGACCTGTGGCCCTTTACTTGAGTGATTGTATACTAAGAAAACACCCAGACCTTACAGGGATTTCTAGACCCCGAATTGATGCTCACTACTGTGGCCCATGGGGAAATTCAGGGGTAATGGGCTCAGGTGATCAAGGAGTCGTGGGCAAAATTTGCATTACCCGCAGGTGAATAGGGTCACGGAACTAACCTGTGCTATTTACCCGAGTATCCAGATAACTGGAATAAACATAGACCGGTAAATGAGGAATCTGCACCGCGGCCTGTGATCCACTGAGTAAGGGCTATTACCCTAGAAAGAGCCAAGTGAGAGCTCCGGGGGACCTCCAAGCCGGGACAGTAAACCGGGAGTGTCACCGCAGTCTTCCCTGGGACTTGCGGAGGCTGGAAGGTGAGGAGCTGGGAACCGCTGTCCCGTCTCCTGTAATTTGCAATTCACCTGTGGAGAGGGGAGATGGTCTTTGGGAATGAGTGAGGAATTCAGTAGGTGACACAGTAGCTGCAGCAGCTCTCGATGCAGCCTCGACACAGCCCCTGGCCTGCCGTGCCCTAGCAGCTGCCTCCGGGATTCCTGGGGTCCCTTCTCCGGGTCCCATCACAGCCGGCCACTCCCCCTTCCACAGCCCCAACTCCCCGCCATGGTGTTCGATGCTCTCTGCTGTCCAGCATCTGTTCACACGTCGCCCTCGCTCCCCGCCTCACGGAGCTCCCGGTCACTACGCCCGGGCCTCGGTGCCAGGGGCCCTACTCTGCTGCGACCCATCGACCTTCTGTATTCTGAGCTCGGCCCAGAGGTGTCCCTGTGCCCCGCGACAGTCAACGCTCAACCGCAAGGGCAGGGAACACGAAGTAGTGGGTAGGCAGGGGCGCGACTCCAGGCCCTCGTCCCGAGCCACCTGGCGTGGGCAAGATTCCCGCTACGTCCCTTCTTAAGGTCAGCCCCAGACAGACAAGCAAATAAAACCCGGGTTTACCCCGCAAGGATAAAGAAACTGAGATCAAAAGTATTGTGCCCCGTGTGAGGATCGAACTCACGACCTTCAGATTATGAGACTGACGCGCTACCTACTGCGCTAACGAGGCACCTAGGCGCTCTCTCAGGCTACAGGCTAATGAGGCTAGTGACGCACTCAATGCGCATGCTCAGAAGATACCGTTTGGTTTGGTTGGGTTTTCTTGTCTCCGTGAGCTATTTCCAGCCTGAAATTGTCGATGCTCTCAGCCTCCGCGACCCGTGAAACCTGTCCACCTGCCTAGCGCCCTTCTCCGCCTGCCCTGCTGTTTGCCAATCAACAAATACTGCACCAGTTAGAACCAGGGAGAGGGGAATTCTGCCTGCTGTTGTGAACTGTTGTGCAGTGCTGACAAAGCGTGGGCACACTCGTGATCTTTTGAAACATTAGGCACCTACTGTGTTCCTGGCCCTGTACTGGGTGCTGCGTTCGCAGGGACGCTCGGCCTAGGGAATAGAGCTGCGGGAACAGGATGGTCACGATCTATCTGCAGGCGCACGCGCGCGCCCCGCCGCAGACCCCAAGTCCTGCCCGGTCCCCAGGTTTCCACCGCCACACAAAGGTCCC